AATAGCAGTGCCCTCTGCTCCCCCCCCCCCCTGGCAGACCAGAAATGAGCTTCCCAAGTCATCTTTGGTGGGGCCCCACACTCACCTTCTGACCTTCAGATCCAAACTCCTTGCGTCCTGGGACTCTGATTAATGACCTAGCCAGGTTCCCAGGAGTCAGCTGAGCATGATTCCAAAACCTAGCTTTTCCTTCCTTCTGGGCCATTGTGCTCTTACTGGAGTCGCAGCTCTGGGCTGCCTGTATCAGCCAACTCGTCCTCCAGCTGCTCTTAGGAAATCCTTCCTTTAGGAAATGGCTAATAGCTCCTATTCTATGTACCAGTCAAGTTTCTCCAGAAAAACAGAAGCAATAAGATGTGGATATAGAAAGATTTATTTTAAGGAGTTGGCTCATGCCATTATGGAGGTTGGTAAGTCCAAAATCCATAGGGTGGGTTGGCTGGCTGGAGACCCAAGCTAAATGCATCATTTCCAACACTGGGTTCCCACAGAACATTCTATTTTTTCCTAGTGGGGTGCGCCATGAGAGAAGACTGGTTAAAAGATGGGGCTTTGGAACTGGTCAAGTGAATTCTCCAGCTAGCTGTGAGACCTTTGAGAAAACTCTGACTTTCTGAGCTTCAGTTTTCTCATCTATAAAGGGGTGGTGGTGGGCAGGTGATAATAGTATCTACCTCTCAGGGCTGTGGTGAGAATTATTTGAGATGAGGTATGTAAAAAATCCAGCACAGTTACAGAAGATGGTGGATATTCAACAAATTGTGTTCCTTCCTAGCCTGGAAACCAGAACTGGGACATCTATAATCTTGGAGACAAAGCCACGCCCGGGCTCACTGGAGTGGCCCTGGTGGGGGCAGGAACCAACTGCATCAATCAGGGGACTCCTAGCCCTGAGACCTTTCTAAAGCTTCTCTCAAGACTCAGAGCACATGATTGCTAAGAAACTGTAAACTCCACACATCCCTATCACAGTCTCGGGTGCCCAACCCCAAACCCAGAGCCACCCCCGAGCCCAGGATTGAGACGAGAAATAACAATGACAAAACCCAGTAGGTTTTGCTGAAATTTTCCGCAGACCACTCCAGTAAATGTTATCAGTATGCCATGTCATTCGTTATCTTAATTGTTGCATTTTTTTTTTTCAATTCTTAGCTGTCAGACTCGGCAGAGATTACTCATCCAAAGAAGGCACTTTTTTTTTTCTATTTTGGTCAAATAGTGGTTTGGGTTTCCTCAGAAAAGCTTCTTCCATTTCCTTTGAAAGATGGTTTTTATTGACTATTCAGAGCAAGGAAAAAATTTAAGCTATCAGATCCCAAGGCCCTCTTGCAAGGTGGGAAGGCTCTTAGTTATAATGATGACATGGGTTTAGTAGTTTCCAAAGGGTTTTCAGATCTAATACAGAACTGGAAACTTTGACAGCCAGAAGGGGTTACAAATGTTATCCCAGTCTGTGGGATGACCAACCTTGAATGGACTCCAGCAATAAATCGAGTAATAACTTGCTTTGTAGTGTATAAGGGTATCACTTCCCTATTAAAATCCTTCCTTGGCTCCATTTCATTTAGGATGAATCCACTCACCTCACTGTGGGCTTGCACCAACACCATCTCCAAACATCTTCCCTCTCCCTCATGCACTCAGCCATGATGAACTTCTCCCTACCTTGGGGCATTTACTTACCGCTCCTCCTACACGAGATGCTGCTCCCCCATCATCATGTATGCCTGGCTCAGCTCAAATGTCATGCTCTAAGAAAATCCTTCTCCAACCATCTTGAACAAAGCACTGCCCCCAGTCAATCTCAATTATATTACCGTGCTTAGCAATTATCTTTAGCTGAAATTCTGTCTTGCTCATTGCCTTTTTCATCCTCGCATTTCAGATCCTTGCCTATCTCATTCATTGCTGTCTCCCAGAGTTAACCCAACCCCTGAAACATAGTAGGTCCAGTCCACATGTGTTGATTGAATGAATGAATTTCATATCTGTTTCTTTTTTCATCTGAGCCTCATCTAAACTCTTTGAGGCAGACGTTACTGTTATGCTGATTTAATGGTCAAGGAAATGGTCTCAGAGATAGGAATGGATTCTCTTCTGCTGATCTTGCCTGTGCCCACCAATGTGGCTGTGAAAGCTGGGAGAGCTGGCCATCTCTCTGTGTGTGGTCCTTCATCCCAGATGTCTTCATGGCCTGGTGGTCTCAGAGCATTCTTCCCAGACAGTGAGAGCTGAAGCACCAAGGCTTTATAGGCCCAGCCTCAAGAGCCACACAGCACCACTTCCTCTAGGTTCGGTCTGTTAAAGCCAGTCATGAGACAGGCCCCAGTTGATAAGAAGGGACACAGGTTCCACCTTTAGATGGGAATTTGCAGAGAAGCTTGGACCAAATTGTTGAAAATTTGTCACAGCTAAGAAGTGCTGACACCAGCTTGACTGGACCTCTGACTCAGGGAAGAGCACCGAGGGGCCAAGATTATCCTGCAACATCAAGTGACTCCACAGATCCAAATGGCCTACAACAAATTTCTCTCTCAATCACATTACATGTCTACTGGGAGCTGGGTGGGGGTTCTGAGACTTCACTCTGGCACCCAGTGTGATCTACTAGCCTGTCCCTGAACATTGCCTGAATAGAGCCAGTCAGTCTCATGACAGAAGACACTTGCTGTTCCAGACCCTCCTGCATAGAAATGACACAAACCATCTTCACCAATACATCAGTGGCTAAACAGGTCACAGTCATAGCATCCTTTCTCTGGGAGGGGCACTGAATATGAGTGTACAGTAATCTCACCCACATAGAGCCAATTTCCCTTTTCAGATCCTTAAAAAAAAAATCCTTTACAGAGTCCAAATCTGTCTCATTCTATTTCTACCATTGGTCCAAGTGCTGGTGTCTCATCTGCTTCCTCAGAGAGTCCTTCATAGAGACAGAGGTTGCTAGAGCCTTTTCTTCTCCAGGATACCCACTCCAGCCTTTCCAGCCACCCAGCCCCCAAACCTGCCACAGCTTCCATTGCTCACAAGATCAAGTCCAAACCCCCATCCCTGAGGTATCCCAAAAGCCTCCCTGCTGCCATATGATTTCTGCTGGCTGGCCTACCAGGCAGTGCTCCCCGAATGCCCGAGGTTAGCTGACGCTCTGCATCTGTCTCCCTGCTGTTTCCTCCAGCTCTGTGGCCCTCACTTCTTTTCCACTCCTATCACAAGACAATCTTTATTCCCCTGGCAGTGTCAATCAACTTTTCTTTTTTCTAAATATTTTCATTATAGTATTTATTTCATTCACTTATCCAACCGACATTTATCGGGCATTTATTAGTATGTGCCGGCTACTGTTACAGGCTCTGGGGAGACACAGGGAACCATACAAACAAGGTTCCCACTCCTCCACCGGCTACGTTCTGGTGAGATAAAGCAGACAATAAGCATTAAAACAAAATAATTCTAGATACTGATGAGTGTTTTCATCAGAATTAAAAGGGATGATGTGAAAAGCACTGTAGTGAGGGAGTGACTGCTTTAAGTAAGATGATCAGGCCTTGTGGCCTCTCTGACGTGTGAGGTGCCAGGAAGATGTGGGGGAAGAACAACCTCAGAAGAAGGAACTGCCAATGCAAATGGTCTGTGGTATGGCCCAGCACAGCCCATTCTGGGCATGAGTAGGAAGCGGCTATAGCTGAGGCACGTGGAGTGAGGCAGAATGTGGTGAGACATGAGACCAGAGAGGTAAGCCAGATCATGTTGGCTGTGATAGCAAGCTTGGATTTTGATTCTAACTACAGCAGGAAGTCATGGGAGGGTTTTGAGCAGGGAGTACAGAGGCTTGATCTGATTTACACTTTTTAAGAGATGACCTATGCAGCTTTGTAAATTGTAGGTGAGCAAACATGGAATCTAGCAAGAGCTTGGAGGCTCTTGCTGTCATTCCAAGATGACTTGGATGCTTGGCCTACCACACCGCCCTGCAGAAACTGTGACCTCAGAGCTCCAGAGGGCTGTGGCTTTAGTCTGCATCTCAGCCTGGGAGACACAGGGCCAGGCCCATAGTGACAGAATGGCCTAGGGTGATATGTCAATCATCATTAGCACACCTCGGACATGTATGCTCAGCTGAGCCAGCATCTTTTTGCTCTCTTTTGCCAAGCTTCTATGAAAACTTCCTTCTTCGTATCAGGCTCCCCAAGCAATTAGGGGCAGCCTGTGTGACCACCTGCTTCTCCTATCCAGGCCTAGCACAGCCCATGGCCATCCTGCGCACCCAGGTTACCTCTATCCAGGTCCGCATGCTTAGCACAGCAGCCTTGACATCTTGTCATTTAAGGGTTTTCCCATCTGAGCCTCTGTTCTCATACTCAAAAGCCCCTTTCCTAAGACCCTCTTCTCTACCTCTTCTCTTCCTCCATTCCTTCTTCCAACTAGAACAAACCCAGTCTGGGGTTTTCTGAAGTTCCATTGATCTCAGAATTATCCAGGCTTTTTCCCAGAAACGAGTGCTTTCTCTCCTGTAGCCTGATTCCAGGTGGCAGAGTGCTGGGCACCCACTGCTGAGTGGTGCCACCTGATTCCTGGGCCACAGCTGGGGGTGCCCTTCCACTGCTATCATCTCACAACTGCATCTGGGTCCCAGCCAGGGCTGAGGCGAGGGGGGAGTGGTTGCAAGTGAGGGGGGAAATGAAGGGAAGAGGGGTAGTGTGACAGAAAGAAAGACACGTCAGAGCCAGAGAGAGAGAGAAGGGAAGAAGGTCTGGGAGAAAGTAGGGGAGCGTGGGGGAGAGGGCCTGCGGGGAGGGAGCAAAGCAGTGTGCTGTGCACGGAGGCGGCAGGGGAGAGGGAGGGAAAGCGGGGAGCAGGGAGCCCGGGAGAGGCCGGGGAGGGTGGGCGGGAGCGGCTGCGAGCGAGGAGGAGCGAGTTGGGGGCGGAGACGAGGAAGTGGGCGCCGGGCGCGGGGCGCGGGGCGCGGGCGGGCGGGGCGCTCGCTCCATCCCTGCCCGGAGCGGAGCCGGCGCGGGCGCGGGCGCTGGACGCCGGGAGCCTGGAGCCGAAGCCGGAGCCGCCCCACGCGGCGCTCAAGGTAACGCGGCCGCGGAGCCTCCCCGCGGGGCCTCGGCTCGGGGGGGGGGGGGGGGAGGGGGGTCCCCGCCGCCGCCGCCGTGACCCTAACCCCGAGTGCGAGCTCGGCCCCGCCGCGGCTCGCGGACTGTGCTGACCTTGGACGATTCTCTCCGCCTGCGAGCCTCAGTTTCCTTCTCTGTGACCCGCGGGGGCCGTGCGCGCGCCAAGGGGGCGCTGCAAGGACGGAGGCAGCCCCGGGTCACAGCCGGGCTCGGGGCGCGGGGTCCGTGGGTTGTCCCCTCTGCCCGCGTGGGGGTGGATTTGGAAAGTCCGCTCGCGCCGGAGAGGTCCCTGCTTTGGCCCCGGCTCCAGGGCGATGGCATTTTCTCGGGGCGTTGTGTCTGCGGGAGCACGGAGCGACATTCTGCTTAAGGAAAGCCAGGAGAAGGCTGGGGGTGGGCAGGAAGGGGCTCTGAGCTCCTCAGGAGCCGAGGCATTTGGCCTTCGTCCTCCTGGGTTGCTGGCCTCTGCCCAGTAGCAAGGTCGGGGCAGGGCTTGCCTGGACCCATTTGGGTCTGGGATGAGCTGGGCACGTGGCCTTGGCTAGGAATCCCGGTTCACTGATTGAAACACTTGCAGTTGACCTTGACCATGTGAACCTCAGTTTCCAACTCTGCAAAGAGGGGTGGGTATGCTGACGGCCCCTTTGAGAAGGCTATGAGGATAAGAAGATGGGGCAGCAAAGTACCCGCCGGTTGTGGTGTCCCTCCAGGGCAGCCTTCATACCCTAAACTTCAATGGCCAGAGTCCTGGTTCTGGTTGCCTGCTGGGAACTCATTTTTACGTGGCAGGTCATTTCTGGTCTCCTTTGCCAGAGGTGGCCACTGGTCCAGTTGGGCATGAAGCAGGGTGCAGGGAAGGGGGGTGGGGGGCAGGAGCCCCTTCCACTCCAGACACACATCCTGATGGTTCTCTGAGACATGAAAGCTGTGAGATGACAGTCTGTCTGGGAAAACTCCTGGTGGAATCTCTCTGAGCCTCACTATCTTATTTGTAATGGGACCTTATAAATTCATACTTACTAATGAGCGCCCTGTTGCTGGAGGTTATAAAAGGCAATGAGATAGATTACATTTATTGACATTTTTGACTGTGAGATATAATGAGAATCGAATGGAACAAGAAAGTCACATTTCTCCTGCCCTTGCTCTGTGCAGACCTGGGACTTGGTGCCTTATGCATCCAGTGTTGGCTATAGTCTCCGCAAGGATCCTGGGAAGCTGGTCCCATTAAACACTGAAATAACAGGCCAGGAAACCCAAGTCTCATGAGGGTAAATGGTTTCCACATGGTCACACTGTTGAGACGTGCTTGTGTTGGGATTGATCTTAGATCTGCCTGATGCCAAGGTCTTCTGATGGTACCACACTGGATCCCAAATATAACTGTGGAAGGTGTCTAGCATGGGACCTGGCAGGGGCCCAGTCAGCACTGGTTTCACCATCCACATGTTATAGGAGGAGCTGCTGTATAAACAGGGGAGAAAGTGCGTCTGAGTCTGGCAGCGGGTTTGGGATACCTTTGCCTAGTGAAGATTTCTCTAGGTATCTGGAAGGAAGGAAGGTCACTATTTAGCACCACAGATAGAAAGCAGATCTCAGGCTGGCTCACCCAAGCCAGCCAACAGTTCTCTTCCTCCATCACTTTGTCTTAGTCAACTTTGTCTCCATTAACTTTGGCCTCAGCTACTTCTCCTGGCTTCACGGACACTTTTTGGTCTCCATCCACGGATGACTAACTAAACTGACCCTCCCAGCTGACGCGTCCAGGCAAAAACAAGTCCAGCTGGGGTCCATCTTCATCAATACTCAGAGAAGGGGAAACAGGATTAAGTCCCAATCCCAAGGATTTAGCTCAGCCTGGGGGAAGAAATCCCTGATGATGGGAAAAATGGATGCCTGGCTATGGGGAAATGGGTGTCTCAGCCAGCTAGAGAGGTTCCTTTGCCAAAAATGTTTTAAAAGAAGGGAAGACATCCAGATGAAGTGATGGGAATATGAACAAAGACTCTTTCAGATGCAAAGATTCTCATCAACAATCAGAGAGTGCCTAAATGTCCAGTTAGGGGATCAATTAAGTAAATTATGGGACAATCATGTGGCTACTAAAAATGGAGAGTTTTTTAATGAATGAGGACATGCTTATACATATGCATATATAGGGTATGGTCACAAATTTGTGGGCAAGCACTTAGAAAAAAGACTAGAAGGAAATAGACCAAAGAATGTTAGCAGTATTTGCCTGTGGATGGCAGGATTATGGGATATTTGTTCCCTAACTCTTTAGAATTTCTGAACTTTCCATTTTTATGGAATATGCTCATTAGTGGACACAGAACTTGTGTCTGGCTTCTCGTGACAATATAACCCATCCACCCCCACCTTTTGGCCAGCACCTAGGACAGGGCTCACACATGGACACTTACCAGTGACCGGACCACCTCTCTGCTGAATCCCAGAAAGCCCCTTGGAAAGAAGAAAGAATAGTAAATGATTATTACCAATAATATTTGACATTTGTTGTGGTTTCTTGCTTTGTGTTCGTATAACCCTATAGGGTAGGTACTATCAATATCCCCATTTTACAGAGAAGAAATCAAGAGTCAGATGACTCAGTCACTTGCCTAGCATCCCACAGCATTCAAACCCAGGCCATCTGGATCCTGAACCTACCTACACTCCTTTACCCAGAGTCAGGAGTGGTGAACAGATCAGTTAGCTTACATTTGAGCACTAATCACGGAAACCCTGGGGGAGGCAGTGCATCTCCACAGATGAGGAAATGGCTCAGTGGCGACCTCCAAAGGCCAGGTTTTGCACTAGATGTTGGAACCCAAAGGTAAGGTGCCATCTCTACACAGCTGTGAGGGAGAGTGGTGTGTAAACAATGTGCTCAGGGTTAGGATGGGGGTTTGTTTAAGAAACTGGGAATGAAAGGTGAAGACTGCCAAGAAGGAATAATATGGGAAATGATTCTGGAAGGATAAGCAAGGATTTACCAGCTGAGCAGAAGAGGTTAGAGCAGTGGTTCTCAATTGGGGTCAGTTTGGTCTCCTAGGGGATATTTTTGATTGTCACAACTTGGGTGGGGGGATGTGCTGACCTCTAGAGAGTAGAGGCAGAGGTGCTGCTAAACATCCCATGATGCACATCCCATGGTGCCTCCACAGCAAGGAATCATCCTGTGCAAAATGTCAACAGTGCAGAGTTAAGAAAGGCTGGATGAGAAGAGACGGGCATTCCCAAACAGGGATCAGCCTGTGCGAGGCGTCCACAGATAGTCCCTAAGTGCCTCCTGTGTGCTGGGCGCTTTGAGCCTGTGATTGCATTATTGGCTGCCTGGCCTCCTTGCTGCCACTCTGCCCCCACCAGCAACCAGAGTGGTCCTTCAGAACAAAATTCAAACTTTATAGAGACGTGATTCATATGCCATAAGGCTCACCCATTTAAAGTCTGCAAGTCAATGGTTTTCAGTATGTTGTGCAACCATCACCATGATCTAACTACAGAACGTTTTCATCACCCCTAAAGAAACTTTGTACCCATTAACTGTCATTCCCCCAATCAATCCCCGTTCCCTCTCAAGGCTAGGCAGCTGCTAATCTATTTTCTGTCTATAGATGTGCCTATTCTGGACATTTCATATCAATGGAATCATATAATATGTGATTATATGGAATAAGAGATGGCCTTTTGTGTCTGGCTTATTTCACTTAGCAAGCTTTCAAAGTTCATCTGTGTTGTATGTGACATGTATCAATACTTCATTCCTTTATGTGACCAAAATAATACTCCACTGGAGGATACACCACATTTTGTTTACCCATTCATCAGTTGATGGGCATTTGAGTTGTTAACACTTTTTTGGCTATCATGAATAATACTGCTATGAACATTTGTGTACCGATTTTGAAGACATATTTTCATTTCTTCCAGGGATATATCTAGAAGAGTTACTAAGCCATATAGTAATGCTATGTTTAACCTTTTGAGGAACTACCAGAGCGTCTTTCAAAGCAGCTGAACCTATTTTTTAAAAAAAGATTTATTTATTTTTTTATTTATATGAGAGAGAGAGAGACAGAGCACGCGTGCTTGAGTGGAGACGGGGAGGAGGGGCAGAGGGAGAGAAAGGACCTTAAGCAGACTGTGCTGAGCTTGGAGCCCGATGCTGGGCTCAATTTCATGACCCTGAGATCATGACCTGAGCCCAAATCAAGAGTCAGATGCTGAACCAACTGTACCACCCAGGCACCCCAGCACCTGAACCTTTTACTGCCCCACCAGAGTGTGATGAAGGTTCCAGCTTCTTTTCATCCTCACCAACCGTAATTACCCAACTTTTGGATTCTGTGGGTATGATGTGGTATCATTTTGGTCTTGATTTGCATTCCCCTGAGAGCTAATGAATTTGAACATCTTTTCAGGTGCTTGTTGGCCATTTGTATATATAGTTTGCAGAACTGTCTACTCAGATCAGAGTCAAAACTTGATTGTGTCATTCCCTTATGCGGACTAAAATGCCAACCCTACCGAGGTCTATAAGGCCCGACACGATTGTGATCAGGCCCTGCCTGTAGCTTTGACTGCATCTCTGCTCACTTACCATATACCAACCACACTGACCTCACAATGGCAATCTGGTCCCCACTAAAGTCATCTGCACGGCTCAGGCTGTTTTCCTCTGCAGGACCACCAGGTGCATAGCAGCTCTGGGGTCAGCCTTGGAAGGCCTGCCCTGTCCTGTCAATTTAAGGCCCTCCTCCCCAGGCCCTTGCTAGTGAATCTCAGGGTATTCTTTGATTGTTCTTTTTTTTTTTTTTTTTTAACTATCTGATCTGGAAATGCTGGGCTCCAAGGCATGACTCCGAGGCATGAAAGGATGACACCTTTCATCACTGTGTGACCCGGGCAAGCCACTGTCCCTCTCTGAGCCCCCAACTGCTCCATCCGAAAACCA